TAGCACATACAAAAAATATGTCATGGCAGCTTGTGTCACCTTATGACAACTGACTTTACACTGTTATAACATGACTCAAACAATACACACAACAACCCTATACCCGAAAGAGGGGACTGAAATTAACAAACAACTACTGGTAACTAATGGTAATTACCTAATAATAACATGGTTATTACCATGTTATTACCCTGTTATTACCGAGCTGTAATGTAAAGCGCTACCAAATTCTCCATTCAGTATATCATAAGTGGTAGTTTGTCTCACGTCTTCCAGTGTGACAGGGTTACTCCGATGATGGTCATCCTCTTCAGGACGTTCTCACCGGCTGGAAGAGGAGACAAGGAAAATCTCCATTACATAACTCTACAGTAAATCATGCAGTGATGTCAATGGGAGATTTCCACCAAAGCTCCAGTTACACATGCAGATCTCAAGCTAGTATTGATTCAATAATGTTTCAAGTTTAGATTCAGGTTATTATAATTTTTTTGATCAGTGTTCTTTAAATCAACTTATAAGGCATTCTGTTTGGAGTGATAGGTACGTCCTAACAGGACATGGATCTCAAGACAGGAATCAACCCTATTGGAGCCTGAGGAGTTTCACGTCATATTTCTCCTTGCAACTGTTAAAGCATTCCGTTTGGAGTGAGTGATACGTTTTGACTGTTTCCTCATCTTCACCCTGTTTCTCCTCCTCAGCTGGCAGTCTATTTGGGAGGTTAGTGTCTCTCTCTCTCTCTCTCTCTCTCTCTCTCTCTCTCTCTCTCTCTCTCTCTCTCTCTCTCTCTCTCTCTCGCTCTCGCTCTCGCTCTCGCTCTCTTACCAGGCAGTCTCTTCTGGAGGTTAGCCATGGCCTCAGGCTTGTCAAAGTTAGCTCTCATCTGAACCAGCACGTCCATGTTCTCTATCACCAGTTTCTGACAGGTAGAGGAGAAGAGAGGAAGAGGAGAGGAGAGGAATAGGATAGGGGAGGAGAAAGATAATAAGATGAGAGGGAGAGGGAGAGGGAGAGGAGAGGAGAGGAAAGAGAGGATAAGAAGAGTTAGATACTGTCAAACTACCAGGTTAAGAGTGCAATCACAGCATTGATGTCAAGTCCAATCTTATTGTCAACTTTCTATCATGTACTGCATGAGTTCTAACACATTGATCAAGAGGTCAGACTGTATGTGGATGGAGGATGTAACACTCTGTCACGATCGTTTACGAAGGAGAAGGACCAAGGCGCAGCGTGATATGCATTCATATTTATTTCATGACTAAACACACGACAAAACAACAAACGAAACGTGACGTCCAAGGTAGACAAATAACATACCTCACACGGAACAAGATCCCACACCCCACTAGTGCCAACAGGCTACCTAAGTATGGTCCCCAATCAGAGACAACGAGCTACAGCTGCCTCTGATTGGGAACCACCCTGGCCAACATAGATCTAAACGATCTAGAAACTAACATAGACAAACCCAACACAGAAAATACACACCCTGACTCAACCAATACAAGTCCCTAGAGTCAGGGCGTGACAGTACCCCCCCCCCCCCCCCCCCCCCAAAGGTGCGGACTCCGACCGCGCCACATAAACCTAACAGGGTAGGGGCCGGGTGGGCATTCCGCCTCGGAGGCGGATCCGGCTCCGGGTGTGACCACCACTTACTCTCCACCTCCCCGTTGCGCCCCTGGTCTGGTCTGGACCTTGGCGTGCTGCTTCCTCTCTCCTTTCTCCCACGAAGTACCACGCCCTGTCTGGACGCTGGTGTGGGAGACCCCGAACCTGGAGAGGGGCTGACGTCTGGGTCTGGACTGGAACCGCTGACTGGAGCTGGACCCGACGACGGTGGATCGAACTGCTCTGGCTCCGGGGTGGAGCCGCTGACCGGAACAGGATCAGGCACCGGTGGAGCGGACTGCTCTGGCTCCGGAGTGGAGCCGCTGACCGGAGCTGGACTGGACCCCGGTGGAGCGGATTGCTCTGGCTCCGGAGTGGAGCAGCTGACCGGTGCCGGACCAGGCACCGGTGGAACAGGCACGGGCCGTGCCGGACGGGACACACGCACCACTGGCTTGGTGCGGGGAGCAGGAACGGGCCGGACTGGGCTGACGACGCGCACCCCTGGTTTAGGGTGACTACATGTGCCGGATTGTGCCGGAAAGTCCCACCTTTTGACCCTTTGTACCGCAACGAATCAATCATGTCCCGCATTTTACCAACAAATTTTACCAACAAAAAAGAAGGTTAAAAACCTTTTTTCTGTTGTATTTTTTGACTTTATGTTTTTTTTATCCCATATGTAACTCTGTGTTGTTGTTTTTATCGCACTGCTTTGCTTTATCTTGGCCAGGTCGCAGTTGTAAATGAGAACTTGTTCTCAACTGGCTTACCTGGTTAAATAAAACATTCATAAAAAACAATTCTACATACAGTATTTGCTCCTACTTCACTCAATCCCGTTTTATAAGTCTCCCTTCCTGTTTTACATTCCCTGAGACTAACCAGAAATGTTTCCTTGGCCCAACATTCCCACATTTTCATAAAACGGCCACACACGTGGTCTCAATCGTTTCTGTATCACCAAATTTTGCGCGAAGCAAAAAAACGCAGGCTAGGTGCGCTTCAATTGCTTATTCGGTGCTGCGGACAGCACGGGTCCGTAGCACACAGAACATCGCTCCTTCACTTCTCACAATGGTGCTTGTTTAGTTAAGTAAGATCAAAGCTGAATCAATGTCTTGGAAGATCACATAATGATTAATTAGTATTCTACATAACATAATCAAATGTAATAGCATAGTATAACGTTACTGTCACACCCCCCCCAAACTTTTTTTTATTTATTATGAGATTTTATGACATAATTATTTTTTTTTAAAGCTAGTGGGGCTAAAACTCAACAGCGAGCACCACTAGGTCATTTGGGTATTTTAAATGTGGTCACCTTAGGTATACTCCCCTGGATATTTAGAAGTAATGCGTGTACATGGACAGCAGCTTGTAAACAAAGACACTGATTGAACAAATACTACTGTGACAGTTCAATAGAACTCCAACCTTGGGGCGGCAGGTAGCTTAGTGGGTAAGAGCGTTGTGCCAGTAACCGAAAGGTCGCTGGTTCTAATCCCCGAGCCGACTAGGTGAAAAATCTGTCGATGTGCCCTTGAGCAAGGCACTTAACCCTAATTGCTCCTGTAAGTCGCTCTGGATAAGAGCGTCTGCTAAATGACAAAAAAATAAATAATATATATATATATATATATATTACAGTGAGCAGCAAAATGTCAAAGAGTCCCACACAGAGAAGGAACAACATACAGTACAGTATGGTGCATCCTGTTCCCTATAGTGTCCCATTTATGATGCATCCAGTATATCTCATCATCAGTGAGGTACATATGCATTGTGATGATGAGTCTGTAGGTGTCTCGGTAGGAGAGAGGATCTCCAAGTTCTCTCTGTGTCTGGTGAATGGAGAGAGGATCTCCTAGGCCTCTCTGTGTCTGGTGAATGGAGAGAGGATCTCCTAGGCCTCTCTGTGTCTGGTGAATGGAGAGAGGATCTCCTAGGCCTCTCTGTGTCTGGTGAATGGAGAGAGGATCTCCTAGGCCTCTCTGTGTCTGGTGAATGGAGAGAGGATCTCCTAGTTCTCTCTGTGAATGGAGAGAGGATCTCCTATGCCTCTCTGTGTCTGGTGTATCGAGAGAGGATCTCCTAGGCCTCTCTGTGTCAGGTGAATGGAGAGAGGATCTCCTAGGTTACCTTGCCTTTCTTGCCAACTCAAAACCCAACAATGCAATAATCAATAACAATGTAATACTAGATGGAAGTGATGGAAGTAGATATGTATCTGTTCAATACCATATTTACAATGTGCAGGGATTCTGGAGTGATAGATGTAGATATGTATATAGGGGTAAGGTGAATATATATACAGGGTAAGTTCCAATACCATATTAACAATGTGCAGGGATACTGGAGTGATGGAGGTAGACATGTATAGGGGTAAGGTGACTAGGCATCAGGATATAAGATAAACAGAGTAGCAGCAGCTTGTATGTGAGTGGGTGTGTGGGTGATGGAGTGACAGTGTGTGTGAGTGTTGGAGTGAGTGTGTGTGTGAGTGTTGGAGTGAGTGAGTGTGAGTGTATAGGGCCCTGTGAGTGTGCATAGAAACAGTGCAAAACTCAAAATAAAAGGTCAATAAAGATACTAGGTAAACTCAGATAGTCTGTGTAGCCATTTTCAGTCTTATTGCTTGGGGATAGAAGCTGATAAAAAGCCTGTTGGTGCCAGACTTACTGCTCCGGTACCTCTTGCCATGCGGAAGCAGAGAGAACAGTCTATGGCTTGGGTGGCTGGAGTCTAACAATTTTCTAGGCGTTCCTACCACCCCACCTGATATAGAGGTTCTGGATGGCAGGGAGCTCGGCCCCAGTGATGAACTGGGCTGTCCGCACCACCCTCTGTAGTGCCATGTGATCGAGGGCGGTGCTAGTAGCAGTAGCAGTGATGCAGCAAGTCAAAAATGCTCTCAATGGTACATCTGTAGGACTTTTTGAGGATCTGAGGGCCCATACCAAACTTCTTCAACCTCCTGAGGGGGAAGAGTCCTTCTTCACGACCGTGTGTGTGTGTTTAGATCATTTTAAGTCTTTAGTGATTTGGACACCGAGGAACTTGACCTGCTCCACTGCAACCCCGTCGATGTGGATGGGGGTGTGCTCGCCCCCCCCCCCCCCCCCCCCCCCCCCCACCCTGTTTCTTGTAGTCCACGATCAGCTCCTTGGTCTTGCTGACGTTGAGGGAGAGGTTGTTGTGCTGGTACCACACTGCCAGGTCACTGACCTCCTCCTCCTTGTAGGCTGTCTCATCGGTGTGTGTGTGTGTGTGTGTGTGTATGTGTGTGTGTGTGTCTGTGCCTGTGCATCCATTTGCGCAAGAATGTATACAACACACATGCCACAGAGAGTCAGCCTGTATGAGTCAGCCTGTATGAGTCAGACTGTATGAGTCAGACTGTATGAGTCAGTGTAGAATGTTGTGATGGACTGTCCCCTGTACGAGTCCAGTGGCTGTGTCTGCTGCAGCAGGACATTCTTGACCAGCCTAGTAACATCCAGACTGAGGTAGCGTGACAGTGAGTGCAGGCTGGCAGTGTAGGCCCCAATCCCGGCCAGATGGTCAGACGGATGCCCTATCTCCTGGGTGGTCTGGTTGTGATGGGTCATGATCCTGCAACAAGGACAAACCAACGACATGAGCATCAAACAGGACTGGCATGGCAGTCTGAATGTACAACAGTCAGGCTAAATGGACCATTTGGTGATTATGATACTCTGGACCGGCACGTTGGCTTGGTTGAAAGGTAACTCCGGTTCTGTCTGTTTTGTGTATAAACCGGCACAACCCCTCCCTTCTTTCATGTTCTCTTGTTCTCGTTCTCTCTTTCTCTCTCTCTCTCTCTCTCTCTCTTTCTCTCTCTACACTCTCTTTTTCTCTCTCTATACTCTCTCTCTCTCTCTCTTTTTCTCTCTATACTCTCTCTTTTTTGTTTCGCCCTCTCTCTCTCTCTCTCCTCTCTCTCTTTCCTCTTTCTCTCTCTCTATACTCTCTCTTCTCCTCTTTTTCTCCTATACCTCTCTCTTTCCTCTTCTCTCCATCTCTCTCTCTCTTCTCTCCTGCATCTTCTCTCTTCTCTTTCTCTCTCGCTCTCTCTCCTCTCCCCTCTCTCTCTCCTTCTCTCTCTTCGCCTCTTGAGCCGGAAAAAATGCAAAGGGTAAACTCTCCTCTATTCCTCCCTCTCCCCTTTTCATCCTTTCAATTTCCCCCCTTGCCTCCCCTTTTTTTTTTCTCTTTTCCCCCAAAAATTTCTTTTTTTTTTCCCTGGCCTAAACAACCCCTCTCTCTTTTTTTGAATTTTCTTTTAAAAGGGCTTTCTTTTTTTCTGTTTCTTTTCCCCCTTTTCCCCCTTTTTCTTCCTCCCTTTTTTTCCCCCCCTTCTTCCTCCCCCCCCTTTTCCTTTTTTTTCTTTTTTTTTCTCTTGGGCCCCCCTTTCTTCCCCCGGGGCGTAGGGGGTTTCGGGGTTAAGTCCCCAACCCCCTCCTCTTCGATCGGGGGTGTCTGCTGCGGAGGGGGGGGGTGCTCGTGTCGTCGGCTCCTCCCGAGCTCTATCTCTATCCCTCTCCTTCTTATTGGGGGGCGTCCTCTCCCTGCGTACGTCTCCCTGCTGCTCACTTCCCTAGAAGGCTCTGTTTCAGGGAGCGAGGGAGGAGGGAGATAGCGAGAGCGATAGCAGAGACACTCTTTCTTCTCTCTCTCTATACACTTCTTCTCATTCTCTCTCTTCACTCTCTTTCTCTCTCTACACTCTCTCTTTCTCTCTCTACACTCTCTCTTTCTATCTTTCTTTGTCTCTCTCTATCGTCTCTCTCTGCTGCCTGTATTTACGTTACAGAAGCAATTCTACTGCTGAGCTTCCACTCTGGAAACCTAATTTTAGGGGCAGCATGACGGAGAGATAATCATCTGGTAGGGACTTGGAGACAAAGCAGAACATGTACTCAGACCATTAGAGTCTCCTGCGTTGGTATGAATGTCAATTTTGAAATAGAGAAAATAGTAACCTAGCTATGATTGTCTGACTTCCTGAACTCTGTAATATACAGTGCCTTCAGAAAGTATTCACACCCCTTGACTTTTTCCACATTTTGTTGTGTTACAGCCTGAGTAAAAAAGTATTACATTTTTATTTTGTGTCACTGGCCTACACACAATACCCCATAATGTCATAGTGGAATTATGTTTTTAGAAATGTTTACAAATTATTTAAAAATGAAAAGCTGAAATGTCTTGAGTCAATAAGTATTCAACCCCTTTGTTATGGCAAGCCTAAATAAGTTCAGGAGTAAAAATGTGCTTAACAAGTCACATAAGTTACATGGACTCACTCTGTGTGCAATAATAGTCTTTAACATCATTTTTGAATGACTACCTTATCTTTGTACCCCACATATACAATTATCTGTAAGGTCCCTCAGTTGAGCAGTGAATTTCAAACACAGATTCAACCACAAAGACCAGGGAGGTTTTCCAATGCCTCGCAAAGAAGGTAGATGGGTAAAAAAAAAAAAAGCTGACGTTAAATATCCCTTTGATCATGGTGAAGTTATTAATTACACTTTGGATGGTGTATCAATACACCCAGTCAAATCAAATCAAATCAAATCAAATTTTATTGGTCACATGCGCCGAATACAACAGGTGCAGACATTACAGTGAAATGCTTACTTACAGCCCTTAACCAACAGTGCATTTATTTTAAACAAAAAAAGTAAGAATAAAACAACAACAAAAAAAGTGTTGAGAAAAAAAGAGCAGAAGTAAAATAAAGTGACAGTAGGGAGGCTATATATACAGTAAAATAAAGTGACAGTAGGGAGGCTATATATACAGGGGGGTACCGTTGCAGAGTCAATGTGCGGGGGCACCGGCTAGTTGAGGTAGTTGAGGTAATATGTACATGTGGGTAGAGTTAAAGTGACTATGCATAAATACTTAACAGAGTAGCAGCAGCGTAAAAAGGATGGGGTGGGGGGGCAGTGCAAATAGTCCGGGTAGCCATGATTAGCTGTTCAGGAGTCTTATGGCTTGGGGGTAGAAGCTGTTGAGAAGTCTTTTGGACCTAGACTTGGCACTCCGGTACCGCTTGCCGTGCGGTAGCAGAGAGAACAGTCTATGACTAGGGTGGCTGGAGTCTTTGACAATTTTGAGGGCCTTCCTCTGACACCGCCTGGTATAGAGGTCCTGGATGGCAGGGAGCTTTGCCCCAGTGATGTACTGGGCCGTACGCACTACCCTCTGTAGTGCCTTGCGGTCAGAGGCCAAGCAGTTGCCATACCAGGCGGTGATGCAACCAGTCAGGATGCTCTCGATGGTGCAGCTGTAGAATTTTTTGAGGATCTGAGGACCCATGCCAAATCTTTTTAGTCTCCTGAGGGGGAATAGGCTTTGTCGTGCCCTCTTCACGACTGTCTTGGTGTGTTTGGACCATGATAGTTCGTTGGTGATGTGGACACCAAGGAACTTGAAGCTCTCAACCTGTTCCACTACAGCCCCGTCGATGAGAATGGGGGCGTGCTCAGTCCTCTTTTTTTTTCTGTAGTCCACAATCATCTCCTTTGTCTTGGTCACGTTGAGGGAGAGGTTGTTGTCCTGGCACCACACGGCCAGATCTCTGACCTCCTCCCTATAGGCTGTCTCATCGTTGTCGGTGATCAGGCCTACCACTGTTGTGTCGTCGGCAAACTTAATGATGGTGTTGGAGTCGTGCCTGGCCATGCAGTCATGGGTGAACAGAGAGTACAGGAGGGGACTGAGCACGCACCCCTGAGGGGCCCCCGTGTTGAGGATCAGTGTGGCAGATGTGTTGTTACCTACCCTTACCACCTGGGGGCGGCCCGTCAGGAAGTCCAGGATCCAGTTGCAGAGGGAGGTGTTTAGTCCCAGGATCCTTAGGCTAGTGATGAGCTTAGAGGGCACTATGGTGTTGAATGCTGAGCTGTAGTCAATGAATAGCATTCTCACGTAGGTGTTCCTCTTGTCCAGGTGGGAAAGGGCAGTGTGGAGTGCGATAGAGATTGCATCATCTGTGGATCTGTTGGGGCGGTATGCAAATTGGAGTGGGTCTAGGGTTTCTGGGATTATGCTGTTGATGTGAGCCATGACCAGTCTTTCAAAGCACTTCATGGCTACAGACGTCAGTGCCACGGGTCGGTAGTCATTTAGGCAGGTTATCTTAGAGTTCTTGGGCACGGGGACTATGGTGGTCTGCTTGAAACATGTTGGTATTACAGACTCAGTCAGGGACATGTTGAAAATGTCAGTGAAGACACTTGCCAGTTGGTCAGCACATGCTCGGAGTACATGTCCTGGTAATCCGTCTGGCCCTGCGGCCTTGTGAATGTTGACCTGCTTAAAAGTCTTACTCACATCGGCTACGGAGAGCGTGATCACATAGTCGTCCGGAACAGCTGGTGCTCTCATGCATGCTTCAGTGTTGCTTGCCTCGAAGCGAGCATAGAAGTGGTTTAGCTCGTCTGGTAGGCTTGTGTCACTGGGCAGCTCGCGGCTGTGCTTCCCTTTGTAGTCTGTAATAGTTTTCAAGCCCTGCCACATCCGACGAGCGTCAGAGCCAGTGATGATCACTACAAAGATACAGGCTTCCTTCCTAACGTAGTTGCTGGAGAGTAAGGAGACCGCTCAGGGATTTCACCATGAGGCCAATGGTGACTTTAAAACAGTTACAGAGTTTAATGCAATAATACTAACCTAAATGACAGAGTGAAAAGAAGGAAGCCTTACAGAATACAAATATTCCAAAACATGCATTCCATTTGCATTAAGGCACTAAAGTAATACTGCAATAAATGTGGCTAAGAAATTCACTTTTTGTCCTAAATACAAAGTTGTTATGTTTGGGGCAAATCCAACACGACACATCACTGAGTAACACTCTTCATATTTCCAAGCATGGTGGTGGTTGCATCATGTTATGGGTATGCTTGTCATCAGCAAGGACTAGAGAGTTGAGTTCAGGATAAAAAAGAAAGGAATGGAGCTGAGCACAGGCAAAATCAGTCTGCTTTCCAACAGACACTGGGAGACAAGTTCACCTTTCAGCAGGACAATAACCTAAAACACAAGGCCAAATATACACTGGAGTTGCTTACCAAGACGACATTGAATGTTCCTGAGTGGCCTAGTTACAGTTCTGACTTATATCGGCTTGAAAATCTATGGCAAGACGTGAAAATGTCTGTCTTGCAATGATCAACAAACAACTTGACAGAGCTGACAGAGAATAATGTGAAAATATTGCATAATCCAGGTGTGCAAAGCTTTTAGAGACTTACCCAGAACGACACACAGCTGTAATCGCTGCCAAAGGTGATTCTAACATGTAATGACGCAGGGGTGTGATTACTTACGTAAATAGAGAGGGATGGAGGAGTATAGAGATGGATGGGGGGATGGAGGGGTATATACAGTGGCTTGCGAAAGTATTCACCCCCCTCCCTTGGCATTTTTCCTAATTTGTTGCCTTACAACCTGGAATTAAAAATGATTTTTGGGGGGTTTGTATCATTTGATTTACACAACATGCCTACCACTTTGAAGATGCAAAATATTTTTTGGGGTGAAACAAACAACAAATAAGACCAAAAAACAGAAAACTTGAGCGTGCATAACTATTCACCCCCCAAAGTCAATACTCTGTAGAGCCACCTTTTACAGCAATTACAGCTGCAAGTCTCTTGGGGTATGTCTCTATAAGCTTGGCACATCTAGCCACTGGGATTTTTGCCCATTCTTCAAGGCAAAACTGCTCCAGCTCCTTCAAGTTGGATGGGTTCTGCTGGTGTCCAGCAATCTTTAAGTCATACCACAGATTCTCAATTGGATTGAGGTCTGGGCTTTGACTAGGCCATTCCAAGACATTTAAATGTTTCCCCTTAAACCACTTGAGTGTTGCTTTAGCAGTATGCTTAGGGTCATTGTCCTGCTGGAAGGTGAACCTCCGTCCCAGTCTCAAATCTCTGGAAGAGAGAAACAGGTTTCCCTCAAGAATTTCCCTGTATTTAGCGCCATACATCATTCCTTCAATTCTGACCAGTTTCCCTGCCGATGAAAAACATCCCCACAGCATGATGCTGCCACCACCATGCTTCACTGTGGGGATGGTGTTCTCGGGGTGATGAGAGGTGTTGGGTTTGCGCCAGACATAGCGTTTTCCTTGATGGCCAAAAAGCTCAATTTTAGTCTCATCTGACCAGAGTACCTTCTTCCATATGTTTGGGGAGTGTCTCACATGCCTTTTGGCGAACACCAAATGTGTTTGCTTATTTTTTTCTTTAAGCAATGGCTTTACTCTTCCATAAAGCCCAGCTCTGAGGAGTGTACGGCTTAAAGTGGTCCTATGGACAGATACTCCAATCTCCGCTGTGGAGCTTTGCAGCTCCTTCAGGGTTATCTTTGGTCTCTTTGTTGCCTCTCTGATGAATGCCCTCCTTGCCTGGTCCATGAGTTTTGGTGGGCGGCCCTCTCTTGGCAGGTTTGTTGTGGTGCCATGTTCTTTCAATTTTTTAATAATGGATTTAATGGTGCTCCGTGGGATAATCAAAGTTTCTGATATTGTTTTATAACCCAACCCTGAACTGTACTTCTCCACAACTTTGTCCCTGACCTGTTTGGAGAGCTCCTTGGTCTTCATGGTGCCGCTTGCTTGGTAGTGCCCCTTGCTTAGTGGTGTTGCAGGCTCTGGGGCCTTTCAGAACATGTGATAGACCATGTGACAACAAAATAGGAAAAATGCCAATGGGGATGAATACATTTGCAAGGCACTGTAGATGGATGGAGGGATATAGACAGGGATAGAGGGTTATAGAGGGATGGAGGGGTATAGAGGGGGATAGAGAGGGATGGAGGGATGTTAGATGGATAGAGGTATATAGAGAGGGATAGAGGGATGGAGAGAGGGATAGAGAGATATAGGGGGTTAAAGAGGGGTAAAAGCACTGACTTGGTGACGATGGCGCGGTCTGTCCTCTGTCTGTCCGCGGTCTGTCCTCTGTCTGTCTGTGCCAGGTTTCTCTCTTTACCCCTCTCCTTTTCTCGGCGTCTGCTTCTTCTGATTCTTATTGCGAGCTGCGCTTACGGTCTGGCCACAGTGTTTGGGCAACAGCTAATAGGGAACATGATTAAGAGGACCACACAGAAGAAACAGTATTAGAATATACGTTTTCCATTTAAGTCTGTTATACATTGCTTGCAGTGTTTACAGAAAAATAAATTAGTGATTTTACTTTTTCCTGCTACGCTGCAACCTCTCAGGAGCCTAAACTAAAGTAAACACCCTCACAATGTTTTCCAGCATAGAGAAAAACAACCTTCTCTCGTTACACCATCTCCTCTTCACCTTCTCACTGTCTTTCCACTAGCACACTCCTACATTAAAGCTACAATCTGGGATTTGCTTCATTAACGGGTAAATATGTAGAATTCAAATTACCATTGAAAAGATTCCCAGATGCCAAATTGTACCTTTAAATCGAGCGCAGTGACCACGAGGGTGTTGCAATATAATTGGAAATACTGTCAATTGGCTGCATCAATCTTATAGTTAATTAGTTGTGTGACCTGTACCCTTCCCCCAGAATCCTGGTCATCGAGGTTGGATATCTCGAACACACACACACACACACACACACACACACACACATACAGACACACACACACACACACACCTGGTCATTGAGGCTGCACTGTTCAGCACATATCTCAAAGACGACAGAGCTGTTCTGTCTGGCGATGTCCTCCAGGAAAGTCACACAGACTCCTCTTCTCAACTGCCTCCGTCTAGACAACAACAAGAAACACAAAGAGATGTCTCTCAGACTTTACCATATTTATCGCTAAAATTAGTTTTTTCTGTTTTTTTCCCCCCAAATTTACTGAGATGCTCCACACTAAAGTGATAATTGTTTTCACCATTCAGTACTTGATGTGATGTGACCTGACCTGAAAAAACTACCCAGCCGAAAATACAACCAACAATTTTCGTAGCCATGTAACGTGGTCAGGAAAAGTGCATTGGCTAACTTTAAATTTAACATGACCAGTTTAAATATGTTATTACAGCAGGATACCCAGCTTGAGGCCAGATGGTGTCTCTGTAGCCCAATACCAACCTCTTCTGGATACTGCTGGTGGACACTATGGCTGGAGAGGGAGCAAACCAGAGGGAAAGACATGAGGTAGCGCCGTACAGAAACCTCCTCACTGCTCTGGGAGAACATCTTCTCCAACACCCGTGGGTAGAAACTAGAGAAAAACACCACCATATCTCAGTCTTTAGCAGTGAAATATATAGGAGTCATATCTCAGTCTTTAGCAGTGAAATATATAGGAGTCATATCTCAGTCTTTAGGAGTTAACACACACTGTATTGTCTGCGTCCCAAATGGCACCCTGTTGCCTATATTGTGCACTACCTTTGACTAGGGCCCATAGATAATAGGGTGCCATTTGGAACGCAACCATGGTGTTACATACAGTACCAGTCAAAAGTTTGGACACACCTACTCAGTCAAGGGTTTTTCTTAATTTTTTTTACAATTTTCTACATTGTAGAATAATAGTGAAGACATCAAAATTATTAAATAATACATATGGAATCATGTAGTAACCAAAGAAGTGTTAAACAAATCAAAATGTATTTTATATTTGAGATTTTTCAAATAGCCACCCTTTGCCTTGATGACAGCTTTGCACACACTTTTCCTGAATACATGTGTGGGCCCTAGTTCCTAGATCCTAGACCCTAGATCCTAGACACTAGTCCCTAGACCCTAGACCCAAATCCTAGACCCTAGTCCCTAGTCCCTAGACCCTAGTCTCTAGAACCTAGACCCTAGACCCTAGACCCTAGACCCTAGACCCTAGTCTCTAGATCCTAGACCCTAGACCCTAGTCCCTAGAGCCGAGACCCTAGTCCCTAGACCCTAGATCCTAGATCCTAGATCCTAGTCCCTAGACCCTAGTCCCTAGACCCTAGTCCCTAGATCCTAGTCCCTAGACCCTAGTCCGTAGATCCGAGACCCTAGACCCTAGTCCCTAGATCCTAGTCCCTAGACCCTAGTCCGTAGATCCGAGACCCTAGTCCCTAGACCCTAGTCCCTAGACCCTAGTCCCTAGATCCTAGTCCCTAGACCCTAGTCCCTAGATCCTAGTCCCTAGACCCTAGTCCGTAGATCCGAGACCCTAGTCCCTAGAGCCTAGACCCTAGACCCTAGTCCCTAAACCCTAGTCCCTAGTCCCTATATATTTTAGTCCCTATATCCTAGTCCCTAGTCCCTAGATCCTAGTCCCTAGATCCTAGTCCCTAGACCCTAGTCCCTAGACCCTAGACCCTAGACCCTAGACCCTAGACCCTAGTCCCTAGACCCTAGTCCCTAGATCCGAGACCCTAGACCCTAGACCCTAGACCCTAGACCCTAGACCAGGGGTGTAAAACGTCCGGCCCACGGGCCGGATCAGGCCCGCAAACGGGTTTAATCCGGCCCGCGAGATGATTTTGTAAAGTATAAAAATGGGCTGCAATTTTTAAATAAAATAAACTGCTGTTCCAATTGCGTCCACTGGATGGCGCAATAGCAATTGTGTTAAGCAAGCAAACTGTTTATACCGGGGCAGAGCAAGTAGGTCAAGCAACTGCAGCCAGTCCAGATGTTTTGCCCGCGATATTTATTACGGCTTCTACTTTTAACATTATGTGCTTTGGCACCCTCATTGCCCCAATATGTCTCTGTCAAAAAGAGAAAAGTGGACGCAGAGTGCAGAGTGTTCCAAGAAAAATGGTCATCCTCCTATTCATTCACGGAATTGAATGGGAAAGCTGTCTGTTTGGTGTGTTCACAGCATATTGCAGTGCTGAAAGAATATAACCTTCGTCGCCACTATGTGAGTCTTCATGCCAACAAATATGACAACTTTCAAGGACAGCGGAGAAGAGAAAAGGTGAATGAACTGTTGGCGGGTCTGAAGAAACAGCAGTCTGTGTTTACTCACAGCCGAGACATCAATGACGCTGCAGTGAAAGCTAGCTACCTCATTGCTAATGAAATCGCAGTGGCTTCAAAACCATTTAGTGAGGGTGAATTTGTAAAAACATGCATGATGAAGGCAGCGGAGATTGTGTGCCCTGAAAAGCGCCAGGCTTTTGCAAATATCAGCCTGACAAGAAACACAGTTGCAGACAGGATTTCCGATCTTTCAGTGGATTTGGACAGCCAGTTGAAGCAAAACGTAAAGTCATTTATTGCGTTTTCGGTTGCAATTGATGAAAGCACGGACATTACAGATGTTGCACAACTGGCCATTTTCATCCGCGGAGTTGATGACACATTGACCGTCACCGAGGAGTTTGTGGAGTTGGTGCCCGATGACAGATACAACGACAGCAGCTGATATTTTCACCTCACTCGTCGGCGCGCTGGACAGGGTCGGAGTGGACTGGTCCCTCGCTGTCAGCCTGGCTACAGATGGTGAGCCCTCAATGATAGGGAAAAAAGCAGGCGTTGTGACAAAGTTCAGAGAGAAAGTGCAATCTGCAAATGGAGGACGTGATTTTTGGACTTTTCAATGTATTTTGCACCAGGAGGCTTTGTGTTGCAAGTCATTAAAGATGGATAACGTCATGAAGGTGGTCATCCAAACTGTTAATTTAATCCGATCCAGAAGCCTGAATCACCGTCAGTTTGACAGCCTTCTCAGAGAGAAAGACCACATCTATGGCCTGCCATACCACACTGAGGTAAGACGGTTAAGCCGAGGTGCTGTGCTGAGGCATTTCTTTGATTTACGAGAAGAAATTGAACAGTTCATGGAAGAAAAGGGCAAACCAGTGTTAGAATTTCATTCCGCAGAATGGATGCAGGACCTTGCATTTATGGTGGATGTTACAGAGCACCTGAATAACTTGAACAAACAGCTGCAAGGGTGCAACAAAGTTGTCACACAGTATTATGACAGCATACGTTCTTTCAAGTTGAAGCTGTCATTGTGGGAGACGCAACTCGCCGGTGGTGATGCAGCTCACTTCCCCTGTCTGAAAAATGTGTGCGCAACCCAACATGTGGCAGACATGAAGCGGTTCAAAGATAAAATAACGGGTCTGTTACGGGAGTTTGAGCAACACTTTCAGATTTTTGGTGAGCTGGAGAAGGACTTCAACGTTTTTTGGTCGCCATTCACCATGAATCCCTCTGATCTGCCCGTCAGCATCCAACTTTAAATAATAGACTTGCAGTGTGACTCGGATTTGAAGGGCAAATTTGCCGCAGCTGGCTTGGACACATTTTATCAGAATCTCTTGCCAGGTTACCCCAACTTGACAGCCCTCGCTGCAAAACTGTTGTGCATGGTTGGAACCACATATCTTTGTGAGCAAGTTTTCTCTGTAATGAGCATAAATAAAACAAAGCTGCACTCAAGGCTCACGCACAAGCACTTGAATCACATCCTGAAGTTGGCTGCCACTCAGGATGTGACGCCTGATATTGATGCGCTGGTGAAAGCTAAAAGATGCCAGGTATCAGGAGTCAAATAAACTATGCAACCCCACTTAAAGTGCTGCATGAGACACCCTGATATAGTTCTGTGATCTGTGATATACTTCTGTGAATCACTGAGGCATTGTGTGTTTGTGTGTTCTTTTTCTTTAGAATTTTCAAATAAACTTGAGGTGTTTTATGATTAATAGTGATGTTGTGCTTGTACTATTTTGGACACACTGTCCTCAGGCTCCAGCTTTATGTTTTATGTTGATCATATTAAAACACAAAAAAAATCTGAAGTTGTTGTTTTTAAGTTATATATATACCATGATTTTACCGGTCTGGCCCACTTGGGAATAGATTTTCCTCCATGTGGCCCCTGAGCTAAAATGAGTTTGACACCCCTGCCCTAGACCCTAGATCCTAGTCCCTATATCCTAGTCCCTAGATCCTAGACCCTAGACCCTAGTCCCCAGTCCCTAGATCCTAGACCCTAGTCCCTAGATCCTAGACCCTAGTCCCTAGACCCTAGTCCCTAGTCCCTAGTCCCTAGTCCCTAGCTCCTAGACCCTAGTCCCTAGACCCTAGTCCCTAGTCCCTAGATCCGAGATCCGAGACCCTAGACCCTAGATCCTAGTCCCTAGATCCTAGACCCTAGTCCCTAGACCCTAGTCCCTAGATCCTAGACCCTAGTCCCTAGACCCTAGTCCCTAGTCCCTAGACCCTAGTCCCTAGATCCGAGACCCTAGTCCCTAGTCCCTAGATCCAAGACCCTAGTCCCTAGTCCCTAGTCCCTAGTCCCGAGATCCGAGACCCTAGACCCTAGATCCTAGACCCTAGTCCCTAGACCCTAGATCCTAGACCCTAGTCCCTAGTCCCTAGATCCTAGACCCTAGTCCCTAGACCCTAGATCCTAGCACCTAGATCCTAGACCCTATTGGGGACCCCTGCCCTAGTCCCAAGACCCTAGATCCTAGTCCCTAGATCCTAGACCCTAGTCCCTAGATCCTATGCACATCATGTGGATCTGAAATGGTTTTGATATCGGCAATATCGTAGACTAAGTGATAGGCTAGGTGGACGTTTTTTCCATATTGCTTTTATCCAATCCCTACTGATCTACAGATGTACCTAGGGATTGGTTCTGATCTACAGATATACCTAGAGGTTGGTTCTGATCTACAGACGTACCTAGAGGTTGGTTCTGATCTACAGATGTACCTAGGGGTTGGTTCTGATCTACAGACGTACCTAGAGGTTGGTTCTGATCTACAGACGTACCTAGAGGTTGGTTCTGATCCAAATATATACCTAGAGGTTGGTTCTGATCTACAGACGTACCTAGGGGCTAGAGGTTGGTTCTGGATGCGGCCCATGGTGGAGTAGACTAGCACCACTGACCAGAGGATGGAGAGATCTGAGGTTTTGTGAAGCATCTCCTGCACGTTGTCCAACATCTTGGTGTGGAACTGGGTCATGTTCATCACCTTGGCCAGGTCTGGGTAGCCCTTCAGTAACCGAAGGGCTTTGGGCACACTAGTGTAGGCCTGTAACATGAAACATCACAGAAACCATGATACACTGGTGTAGGCCTGTAACATGAAACATCACAGAAACCATGATACACTGGTGTAGGCCTGTAACATGAAACATCACAGAAACCATGAGACACTGGTGTAGGCCTGTAACATGAAACATCACAGAAACCATGAGACACTGGTGTAGGCCTGTAACATGAAACATCACAGAAACCATGATACACTGGTGTAGGCCTGTAACATGAAACATCACAGAAACCATGATACACTGGTGTAGGTTCTGTAAACTGAAACATCACAGAAACCATGAGACACTGGTGTAGGCCTGTAACATGAAACATCACAGAAACCATGATACACTGGTGTAGGCCTGTAACATGAAACATCACAGAAACTAGTGTATTTAATACATTGTGTTTACAGTGTAGGCTTATGGAACAGCATGTCCAATGTGATAAATGGAAAGTATTTATATGGACACTTAAGTGAAGTACCTGTAATCTTAAACAGTCCAGTCTCAGAGCCCTGAAATCAAACTCTTCTCAATGTTCCACTGTTGAGTTCCACACAGTACGGTGGTATGGTGGTAGAACACATAAAGTAAACGTAGTATCACACATCACTGTAATCGACAATGACATATTATACGTCTTGTTTACCTTGATTGATGTTCAGTGTAGACAGGGTTGAGACAAATGATGTCATCAGGACTGATTCCTCTTCTGGACAGACGTACATATTCTACATGGAGGAATAGTCAGAATGTTTTGCCTCATATTTGTCATAGTTCTTCGAGCCGGATACACCGTTCATATTCACCCTGGTAACTGTAACTCACTCACACACACACTCAAGCAAGCAAGCACGCACGCACACACACACACACACACATAAACACATGAACTTGTAACTACTGTATCAACAGTATGACTATACGTAAACACAGAAACTAGTGACTACTGTATCAACAGCACAGTAGGACTATACATCCAGATCACTGTTGTATAAGCATTTGCTACATTGTTTAGTTTTGTGACTAGAAAGCTGAAGTGGTAATATGGTAGTGTATATATTTGGTTGATATGGGAGATTGGTAGCGTGCAAAGTGGCATGGCAGGAAGGTACGTTTTATGTGGCAGGAAGGTCTGCTTTGTGTCTACCACTTCAAACTTACGAGTCTATGTAGTCCTCTGGGGTCTTGATCCTGGGGATATTGTCAGAATGTCTGACGAGCCACAGAACCTCGTCACGGGAAAACGACAGAGCCATGAAGACAAACAATGCCTTGGGGACGGATTGACAGAGAGAGAGGGAAGGATGGAGGGAGAGAGAGAGTGAGTGTATATATACATAATATGACATTTGAAATGTCTTTATTCTTTTGGAACTTCTGAGTGTAATGTTTACTGTTAATATTTATTGTTTCTTTCACTTTTGTTTACTATCTACTTCACTTGCTTTGGCAATGTTAACATACGTTTCCCATGCCAATAAAGCCCTTGAGAGAGAGAGAGAGAGAGAGAGAGAGAGAGAGAGAGAGAGAGAGAGAGAGAGAGAGAGAGAGAGACACTGGCCTGTGTTTCTTTCAGAGCTCTCTGTCTGTGTCTATTATAGTACAGAATAAGAGGTTGATGCTAAAAGTGTAAATACATAATTAAAGAATAGAATATGATCATATTCAAATGTACAGGGAAGCTGAACATGCAATAGATTGGCATTATTAGCCAGATTAAGTGAATGTGTGAGTGAGTGTTGTTTACCTTGAGTCCCAGGAGTCCAGGTTCATCCTCCAGGACTTTGACCAGTTCCTTCAAGGCATTCCTCAGGAAACCTCTTCTCTCTCCGTGCATCGCACCACTTACATAGACATGGCAAAAAACACACACACAGCTCTAGTCAACGTTCTCATTAGAAAGTGGACACACTTGTTTTTAACAGTTAAGCACATGGTTGCGCTGGCTGCTGATCCAAATCTGGCTCGAAGGACCATGAAAAAGACTTCCACCTTGTGTCAAATGCACAGCCCATCCCTGTTTCGTTCCCTGCTATGTGAAAGCTGGGCTTTACGGTCAGGCTCAGTTTGAGGGGCTGTGCGACATGCTCTTAGAGGGTTTTATACAGATGCTAAAGAACTCACCTGTTGACTAGGGCATGCTCCCTGCATTCTTTGATGTTGGCAACACGCTTACTACACCTGACAGGAAACTGAATATATTGTCAGCAGTAAGATGTAAGATGTATTTAATACAACACAGTACAATACAAGACAGGGCCTTGTGTCCCAATAACATTTTGGTGCATTAAAACCTTCGTAGGAACATGGTTAAAACTGTTCACCAAAACCTTTGCCATCACTAATGGGAAACCATGCCCAGAATAAAATCACCTTGAGTCCCAGTCACATCACTCAGAGGACCTAATATACTGTATATGGCATACTAATGTCAAACCCTGTCAGACCTTGTGGATGTTAAGTGTCTCATCCCTGATGATGTTGAGATACAGGCCGCTGCAGAGGGCCGTCTTCCACAGCTCCTGAGACGACTGGTTTGTGTTCAGACTGCTGTGATGCAGCAGGAAACCCACTAGAGAGGAGAGGAGAGATTAGATTACATTAGATTAGATTAGATTAGATTAGATTAGAGGAGAGGAGAGGAGAGGAGAGGAGAGGAGAGGAGAGGAGAGGAGAGGAGAGGAGAGGAGAGGAGAGGAGAGGAGAGGAGAGGAGAGGAGAGGAGAGGAGAGGAGAGGAGAGGAGAGGAGGAGAAAATTGACAAACAAACAAACCAAAACAAAGGCAAAGTCTTCTCATGCTTTGTTGATTTCAAAAAAGCTTTTGACTCAATTTGGCCTCACCCTACTAGAATCTGAAGTCAAATGTCTACTGTTTGCTGATGATCTGGTGTTTCTGTCACCAACCAAGGAGGGCCTACAGCAGCACCTAGATCTTCTGCACAGATTCTGTCAGACCTGGGCCCTGACAGTAAATCTCAGTAAGACAAAAATAATGGTGTTCCAAAAAAGGTCCAGTTGCCAGGACCACAAATACAAATTCCATCTAGACACCGTTGCCCTAGAGCACACAAAAAACTATACATACCTCGGCCTAAACATCAGCGCCACAGATAACTTCCACAAAGCTGTGAACGATCTGAGAGACAAGGCAAGAAGGGCCTTCAATGCCATCAAAAGGAACATAAAATTTGACATACCAATTAGGATCTGGCTAAAAATACTTGAATCAGTTATAGAACCCATTGCCCTTTATGGTTGTGAGGTCTGGGGTCCGCTCACCAACCAAGAATTCACAAAATGGGACAAACACCAAATTGAGACTCTGCATGCAGAATTCTGCAAAAATATCCTCCATGTACAATGAAAAACACCAAATAATGCATACAGAGCAGAATTAGGCCAATACCCGCTAATTATCAAAATCCAGAAAAGAGCCGTTAAATTCTATAACCACTTAATAGGAAGCGATTCCCAAACCTTCCATAACAAAGCCATCACCTACAGAGAGATTAACTTGGAGAAAGCTTTGACTATGTAAAGACTCAGTGAGCATAGGTATGACCATATTAGAGACACATATTTCCCTCAGATTACAGCGATCCACAAAGAATTTTGAAAACAAACCCAATTTTGATAAACTCCCCTATCTACTGGGTGAAAAACCACAATGTGTGCCATCACAGCTGCAAGATTTGTGACCTGTTGCCACAAGAAAAGGGCAACCAGTGAAGAACAAACACCATTGTAAATACAACCCATATTTATGTTTATTTATTTGCCCATTTGTACTTTAACTATTTGCACATTGTTACAACACTGTATTTGTACATAATATACATAATATGACATTTGAAATGTATTTTATTATTTTGGAACTTCTGAGTGTAATGTTTACTGTTAATATTTATTGTTTATTTCACTTTTGTTTATTATCTATTTCATTTGCTTTGGCAATGTTAACATACGTTTCCCATGCCAATAAACCCTTAAATTGAATTGAATTGAATTGATAGGAGAGGAAGAGGAGAGGAGAGGAGAGGAGAGGAGAGGAGAGGAGAGGAGAGGAGAGGAGAGGAGAGGAGAGGACATAGTGACTAACATGTAGAGAGCCACAGGGCCCAGAGACTAACATGTAGAGAGCCACAGGGCCCAGAGACTAACATGTAGAGAGCCACAGGGTCCATAGAATAACATGTAGAGAGGCCACAGGGCCCAGAGACTAACATGTAGAGAGGCCACAGGGCCCAGGGACTAACATGTAGAGAGCCACAGGGCCCAGAGACTAACATGTAGAGAGCCACAGGGCCCAGAGACTAACATGTAGAGAGCCACAGGGCCCAGAGACTAACATGTAGAGAGCCACAGGGCCCAGAGACTAACATGTAGAGAGCCACAGGGCCCAGAGACTAACATGTAGAGAGCCACAGGGCCCAGAGACTAACATGTAGAGAGCCACAGGGCCCAGAGACTAACATGTAGAGAGCCACAGGGCCCAGAGACTAACATGTAGAGAGCCACAGGGCCCAGAGACTAACATTAGAGAGCCACAGGCCCAGAGACTAACATGTAGAGAGCCACAGGGCCCAGAGACTAACATGTAGAGAGCCACAGGGCCCAGAGACTAACATGTAGAGAGCCACAGGGCCCAGAGACTAACATGTAGAGAGCCACAGGGCCCAGAGACTAACATGTAGAGGCCACAGGGCCCAGAGACAAACATGTAGAGAGCCACAGGGCCCAGAGACTAACACGTAGAGAGCCACAGGGCCCAGAGACTAACATGTAGAGAGGCCACAGGGCCCAGAGACTAACATGTAGAGAGCCACAGGGCCCAGATGAACCAAACACATGTAGAGAGCACAGGGCCCAGAGACTAACATTAGGAGCCACAGGGCCCAGAGACTAACATGTAGAGGCCACAGGGCCCAGAGACTAACATTAGAGGCCACAGGGCCCAGAGACTAACATGTAGAGAGCCACAGGGCCCAGAGACTAACATGTAGAGAGCCACAGGGCCCAGAGACTAACATGTAGAGAGGCCACAGGGCCCAGAGACTAACATGTAGAGAGCCACAGGGCCCAGAGACTAACATGTAGAGAGGCCACAGGGCCAGAGACTACATGTTAGAGAGCCACATGGTCCCAGAGACTAACATGTAGAGAGGCCACAGGGCCCAGAGACTAACATGTAGAGAGCCACAGGGCCCAGAGACTAACAGTGAACATAGAGCGCAATGGTGCTTCAAAGACTCCAGTCGCTGCCTTTGAAAATCAGCAGGCAGGACATGGTAGGGCAGGTAAGAGAGGAGGAGAGGAGATAAGAGGAGAGGAAAATAAAATAGGAAAAGAGAAGAGAAGAGAAGAGAAGAGAGCAGAACAGAACAGAACAGAGCAGAGCAGAACAGAGCAGAGCAGAGCAGAGCAGAACAGAACTGAGCAGAACTGAGCATAACAGAACAGAGCAGAACAGAGCAGAAGAGAGTAGAACAGAGCAGAGCAGAACAGAGTAGAGCAGAGCAGAACAGAGCAGAACAGAGCAGAACAGAGCAGAGCAGAGCAGAAGATACGAAGAGAAAATGGGGGGAGAGGGTTGGAGAGGGTTGGAGAGGGGGAGAGTGGGGAGAGGGGGAGAGGGTTGGAGAGGGGGAGAGGGGGGAGAGGGGGGAGAGGGGGAGAGGGTTGGAGGGGGGGGAGGGGGGAGGGGGGGAGAGGGGGGGAGAGGGTTGGAGAAGGAGGGATTGGGTGGGAGGGAAAGGGTGGGAGCGAGAGAGAGGGAGAGATGGGTAGAGTTCAATTTTTTACTGTAATAAATTTCCATAACAGTGTTGTTAGGCCGAACAGCAGTAAAAATCATGAACTCCATTGATTTTCAGGAATAATGACCCACTCTAATATTTACAGCCATTTTCAATATACAGTTGACATTACCCTAGTGAATATACAATAGTTAATATACCTTAGTGAATATACAATAGTGAATATATCCTAGTAAATATACCTTAGTGAATATACCCTAGTAAATATACCCTAGTGAATATACCCTAGTGAATATACCCTAGTGAATATACCCTAGTGAATATACCCTAGTGAATGTACCTTAATGAATATGTCCTAGTGAATATGCCCCAGTGAAAATGCCCTAGTGAATATACCCTAGTGAATTTACCCTAATGAATATACCCTAGTGAATATACCCTAGTGAATGTACAGTTGACATTACCCTAGTGAATATACCTTAGTGAATATACTCTAGTGAATATACCTTAATGAATATGCCCTAGTGAATATACCCTAGTGAATTTACCTTAGTGAATATAGGCTAGTGAATATACCCTAGTGAATTTACCCTAATGAATATACCCTAGTGAATATACCCTAGTGAATGTAAAGTTGACATTACCTTAGTGAATATAACTTAGTGAATATACCCTAGTGAATATACCCTCGTGAATATACCCTAGTGAAAATACCCTAGTGAATATACCTTAGTGAATATACCTTAGTGAATATACCATAGTGAATGTGCCCTAGTGAATATACCCTAGTGAATATACCCTAGTGAATATACCTTAGTGAATAGACCTTAGTGAATATACCTTAGGTAATATACACTAGTGAATATACCTTAGTGAATATACCCTAGTGGATATACTTTAGTCAATATACCCTAGTGAATATACAGTTGACATTACCTTAGTGTGAGCGCCAAACTCCTCAGTGAGTTTCTTCATGGGCTGATCATACTCCAGAAACATCTGAGCCAGGCAGGGATACGCAGGGTCACTTGAGGATCAATCAATTAATCACGCATGACTTAGTCAATCAACCACACATTCATGCATGTATACTCATACCACTGTCATGTACCATACTAACTCATACAAACAGCAGTATCATGTGGTGGCATCACCCACACAAAAAAAGTCAATCAGATTCCCCCCATTCTTTCAAGTGTCATTACTTATCACTTTTTGAACAGGAGATGAAGAAGAGGCATCATCAAGCACTCTCTCTCCTTCTAAACTCCATCAGCTTGATCAAAAGTAGCGCACTATCTCCAAGCCACTGATGCGTATTATGTAGGGACTGGTGGAAAATTGCTGTGACATTCCATTTCTTTGTTCCTTATTGTATTTCCTCCTCCACAGCGTCTTCGATCAAGATAAACTTCCTCCTGCCATTTTGGCGATATAAATGAATATGGCGTGAAATGGGAGGACTCAAAATGTCAGTGTACTGCTTTTCACTCTGGGAAAGGCTGGACAGGAAGGGAAAGATGTGTTGTTACTTGTTAATTAACCAGTTATTAGTTGAGGAGACAACTGTGTGCAATTAATGGGTAATCATCTTTGAGATGGCGTGGCTACATTAATGGCTAAGAGGAGTCAAGTTATCGTGACTGGGCAGTTGCTTAGCCTACGCTAATGACATCCTCCACTGAATGATGAGAACATCAGATTTGTTTAAATCATGAATTGATATTTAAATGTCATCCTCCATTGAATGAGTGGAAAAAGCCCATGTCCGATTATTCCTGGCATGAATTGAATTGAGAGTGAAATGAGCTTGCAGTGTGAGCATGTGATCTGGTTATGTATTTGCATATGAAAATACATTAATTCATTGTCTGTTCAGAAATGTCAATGAAAGATGTATTGAATAGAAGCTCGGTAATTTTCAATGAGGATTGTTTCCATTCTATTCTTGAATTTGTATTCCTAATCCCTTCCTGAATCGACTGTATTTGAATAGTTGATAGATGTGACCGGTCTTACCTGTTTCCGTTGGGCATCTCGTGAGCACAGTTGTACATGGACACCAGGACCTTCATGTCATCAATACGTAACAACATGACGATGATGGACGTGTAGGTGACGATGAGCTCCAGGTAGGTGTTGGTGAAGTCAAAGTTCATCGCCTGATGAATGAATTAATGAATTACTGAATTAATGAGTGAGTGAATTAATGAATTACTGAAGGAATGGATGAATGAGTGAGTGAATTAATGAATTACTGAATTAATGAATGATGCAGGTTAAAAAGTAGGTTAACATGACAACTTGTAAATTAGTTATCATGTGCTGTGTGACACCTACGGTGGCCCTAAGGGGTAAAACCACTATTGTGGAATGCTGCACTCACAATACAGACGTCAAATAATGCAGTGGGTTGATGCATTCATGTTGCTCTGTAACAATACAGATGTCAAATAATTCAGTGGGTTGATGCGTTCATGTTGCTCTGTAACAATACAGACGTCAAATAATGCAGTGGGTTGATGAATTCATGTTGCTCTGTAACAATACAGACGTCAAATAATGCAGTGGGTTGATGAATTCATGTTGCTATGTAACAATACAGACGTCAAATAATGCAGTTGGTTGATGTGTTCATGTTGCTCTGTAACAATACAGACGTCAAATAATGCAGTGGGTTGATGAATTCATGTTGCTATGTAACAATACAGACGTCAAATAATGCAGTTGGTTGATGCGTTCATGTTGCTCTGTAACAATGCGGATGTCAAATAATGCAGTGGAACAGTACAGAGGGCCATAGGGAATAAACACCTGCTAGCCATGGCTATCCTCATAGAGTTTTGGATTATACAGGCCTTATAGAAATGCCACAGCCTATCCAAAGAAATTGGGTTAAACGTCGGAGTGTATTATTTTTTTTTTTTTGTTGTATCATCATTAAGATATTTTTCTATTTTCTATTCTGAAATTGGGTGACAAATTGATGTGTAGTATTTTATTGTATTTATCACGTTTCAGGAGAAGACCCAGATGCAAACAATGTCGAAGTAACACATGTTTATTACAAAAACAGGGGGCAGGCAAACAACAGATCAATGGCAGGCAGAGGTCAGTAATCGAGATCAGATTCCAAAAGGTGGCAGTGTCTGGGCAGGCAGAGGTCAATAATCCAGGGTGGTGTGACTAGGTACAGAACGGCAGGCAGGCTCAGGGTCAGGGCAGGCAGAATGGTCAAAACCGGGAAAACTAGAAAACAGGAACTTGAGAAAGACAGGAGCAAGGGAAAAACCACTGGTAGGCTTGACGAAACAAAACGAACTGGCAACAGACAAACAGAGAACACAGGTATAAATACACTGGGGATAATGGGGAAGATGGGCAACACCTGGAGGGGGGTGGAGACAATCACAAAGACAGGTGAAACAGATCAGGGTGTGACAGTATTATCATCATAATAAACTCTTTATTATTGCATGACCTCCCTACAATGTATATCCCATACTGTGACCTTCATCACACATAATGAATACGCCTGAGGCACAGGACACAATTTCCTCTGTACAATAAAATCAATCAATTTGACTCCCCTTGAAAAGCATATTATTTAAGTTGGGGGAGGAAAAAATATCACTTTATATGTTAATCCAGTTTGGATAATTTGTGTTTTGTGCTTTGAATACCAATGCAGTAATATCTGAATGAAACAGTTCCTCATATTTTATTTATTCCAGAACTTGCACTGCTGATTCAACTAATGAAGTGCTTGATGATTAGTTGACATGCAATACATAAAATAAGTGGACCTGGCTGGGGTTACTGGAAGAGAGTTTGGGAAACACTGGAGAAAGACACTTAGAGGAAAGCTTTGCATTTATTAAATAAGTGGACCTGGCTGGGGCTATTGGCATGGAGGTTTGGGAAACACTGGTATAGAAAGACTCACCCTGAACTCCATGACGTCTATGAATGAGTCATAGTAACTGGACATGGTGGTCATCACCTGATGTATTTGACAGACGCTTCCATGGTCTTGTCCATCAGGTATTGTGGCCGAAGCTTGGAACAGAACTGAGCACGTCTGGAACAGAACTCGGTGGGGTTGGGGTCAATGACATTTTGATTCACTCAATTCAGGAAATGAACTAACACTTGTGTGAATTTAGTATAAACGTATTTGCTTATTTGCCTCCTGTTCCGGACGACGATAGGCGATGTGAGTAAGACAGGTTTAAATAGGTTAACATTCACAAGGGCACAGGGCCAGACGGATTAGCAGGACGCGTACTCAGAGTATGCGCTGACCAACTGGCAAGTGTCTTCACTGACATTTTCAACCTGTCACACCCTGAGTCTGTAATACCTACATATTTCAAGCAGACCACCGTAGTCCCTGTGCCCAAGAACGCCAAGGTACACTATCTAAATGACTAATGCCCCATAGCACTCACATCTGTAGCCATTACATTTTTGGAAAGGCTGGTCATGTCTCACATCCACAACATAATCCCAGAAACCCTGGACCCACTCTAATTCACATACCGCCCAACAGATCCACAGATTACGCAATCTCGATTGCACTCCACACTGACCTTTCCCACTTGGACAAAAGGAACACCTACGTGAGAATGCTGGTCATTTACTACAGCTCAGCATTCAACACCATAGTGCCCTCCAAGCTCATCACTAAGCTAGGGACCCTGGGACTAAACACCTCCCACTGCAACTGAAGCCTGGACTTCCTGACGGCCGCCCCAGGTGGTGAGGGTAGGTAACAACACATTTGCCATGCTGATCCTCAACACGGGGGCCCCTCAGGGTGCGTGCTCAGTCCCCTCCTGTACTCCCTGTTCACCCATGACTGAGTGGCCGCGCACGACTCCAATACCATCATTAAGTTTGCCGCCAACACAATTGTGGTAGGCCTGATCACCGACAACGATGAGACAGCCTATAGGGAGGAAGTCAGAGACCTGGCAGTGTGGTGCCAGGACAACAACCACTTCCTCAACATCAGCAAGACAAAGGCGCTGATCGTGGACTAAAGGAAATGGAGGGCTGAGCATGCTGTAGTGGAGCGGGTCGAGGGCTTCAAATTCCTCGCTGTCCACATCACTAAGGATCTATCATGGTCCAAACACACCAACACAGTCATGAAGAGGGCACGACATCGCCTGACAAGATTTGGCATGTGCCCTCAGATCCTCAAAAAGTTTTACAGCTGCACCATTGAGTGCATCTTGACTGGATGAATCACCGTTTGGTATAGCAACTGCTTGGCATCAGGGGGTAGTGCGGACAGCCCAGTAAACCACTGGGGCTGAGCTCCCTGCCATCCAGGACCTCTGAACCAGGCGGTGTAAGAGGAGGGCCCTAAAAATTGTCCAGGACTCCAGCCACCCAAGTCATAGACTGTTCTCTCTGCTACCGCACGGCATGCGGCACCGATGCACCAACTCTGGAACCAAAAGGACCGTGAACACCTTCTACGCCCAAGCCATAAGACTGCTAAATAGTTAGTTAAATACACTGAACAAAAATATAAACTCAACATGCAACAATTTTAAAGAGTTTACTGAGTTACAGTTCATATAAGGGAATCAGTCAATGGAAATGAATTAATTAGGCCCTAATCTATGGTCTGGAACCAACAGGACCCTGAACAACTTCTATCCCCAAGCCATAAGACTGCTAAATAGTTAGTCAAGGTAGTGTAGTGTATTAAGATTATGATGGTGTTAAATGTTTTTCATGAAGAAATGGAATGTTGTTTATGTTAGTATCAAGAGGGAATGTTTTTAGTGTAACGTCACATATAACAGACAGGAAGTGTGTTGTAGACAGGGGAGACTGGTGATTGGCCAGAAGAGGGAGCATCAGTGTTTATAAATAGGGGGGAAAACGAAGAAGAAAGTCAGAACGAGCAGCCATTCTGAGGCGTCACTCTCCGGGTGTCATGTCACCTGTCACTCATGCTGAAGCTTCTGATCTGAATAAACCTTATGATCAACGTTCAGTATGAGCAGACTCCTTTTGTTCATCAGCAATAATTGCCACCACTCACTCGATACGACAGTAGCTATTTGGTTAACTATTTAACTATCTGCATTGACCCTTTTTGCGCTAACTTTTTTGACTCATCACATACGCTGCTGCTACTGTTTATTATCTGTCACTTTATTCGTAGTTATATGTACATATCTACCTCCATTACCTCGTACCCCTGCAATCGACTAGGTACTGGTAGCCCTGTGTATATAGCCAAGTTATTGTTACTCATTGTGAATCTAGTTTTACTTTCATTACTACGTGTTTTACTTTTCTATTATTTCTCTATAATCTTTCTCTCTGCATTTTTGGGAATGGCCCGTAAGTACGCATTTCACTGTTAGTCCACACTGTAGCATGTGACGAATAAAATGTTATTAGATTTTCCTGATATGTATTGTACAGGCCTAGGAAAAGATTTATGGAGCCTTACAAGCAAGGCTTTATTTAGTATAAAGTGGGATCAGCATTCTGACACAGTAAATAGCAGATCTGAGGCTTTGTGCATGTACAACAGCAGCAGAGGTCTCTGAGTGGCTGCCAGATCACTCTGGTTTCTTCTTCAAGACAAGCCGACACTCAGAAAATATATATTCTTACCCCAGCAGCCACCAAGCTAACTGTATTTAAAGAGATCATTACATTTTTGAATGTTAAACATTGATCATTTCCTATCCCAGTGTTTCCATCCACACAGATCTCCATCAAAAAAGGGGCCAATAGTTTTGAATGTAATCAGGAAGAAAATACTCTTACTTTCCTTCAAGTTCCTTTTTTTCGTTTTGCTGCTTCTAAAGTCTTGCCATTCTCCTCAACAGACCGACTCGAATGTAGTTCATTCGTAGAAGCACCCCTCTCCCCCTGTCGTTAAAAATGGTGAGCTTCTCAGTTAGCTTCTGTTGGTAAGCCATGGACATAATGCTCCTCTCCTCTCCCCCCTAATGTTATAGCCCTGGTCTGTCTCCTCCAGATCAGGAAACAGCCTCAAAGACAAGTGCATCCAGCACTCAGATAGACCAGGCTCCACCCTGTCACGTGATTGGTGGAGTTGGAGCTTGGGTTTTGGGTTTCTTTTCAGTGTCAGTTAACCCAACCACTCAACTCTCTCTTCCTTGTTGTGTGTGTTTTACAACATGTCAAAAGTCATTGCTATGCCATAGTGCTCCCACACAGATCTGGGCCTGTATCTCTAGCAGCAGGGTTGGGGAGTAATTTATTATATGTCATCTCATTACATAAAAATGCAACTGTTATCAGTTACATTACCAAATTAAAAGATACTTTTGAAAAACTAGATGATTACTTATTGGATTACTTTTAAATTCAGAAAGGTTGTTTGTGCAACAAAAAAAATACATTATGCCACCTTTCTGTTTTCTCAATGACATTCAATTCAGAATTGAAAAAAAGGTGCAAGTTTAATGTGTTCGATGGATCATTTTAGTCTTCTTCTAATGCCTCTTAAGGGGAAAGTAATCCTAAAGTAACTGAAAGTAATCAGATTACGTTACTGAGTTTGAGTAATCCAAAAGTTACTTTACTGATTACAATTTTGGACGGGTAACCAGTAACTGTAACAGATTACATTTAGAAAGTAACTTATCCAACCCTGTATAGTAGTGATGTAGAGTGCTGATATAGTGCTGATCTAGAATCAGGTACCCCCTGTCCATGTAATCATATTCATTGTGATCTAAAAGGCTAAACTGATCCTATATCAGCACTCCTACTATGAGATGCTTGAAATGGCCCCAGGACTAGGGAACAACTGTGTGCATAATGCTGATTCAATTGTGGTCCCTATAACTAGGATTTAATCACCTTTTTAGTACAGGCACTACAACAGGTTTGCCAGTGACAGGTGACAATAGCGTATACTGTTTTTGAAAATAGATACTGTTTCAGCTATTACCTCTTTTGAGCTGTAGAGAGCACTGTTCCATCAGTCTCCACTAGATGTCATCCCATACCTGCTTGTGGTTGAGGTGATCGTCGTGCTACAGTCCAGTATGGGCCGGTTGGTTTCACAAACCCAGATGAAGCCTAGTCTACTCCTGGACTGAAAAGCATGCTCAAAGGAGAATCTCCATTTTAACTACCTTTACAGTCCAGGAATATATAGACTTAACCTAGCCTTGTAACAGATGTGTCCGTGTTGTCTTGCCAACTCCTATGATCATTGTCACATGGACTTGGCAAGACAGCACAAACAGATCTGGGACTAGGCTTAATCTGGGTCTGGGAAACTGTCCCTAGGAGCTAAGAATTCCATTGTCTCAGCTCTTAGTGGCAGGCTTCCACCCTCGTCTGCCTGTCTGCTCTTTCCCAGGTACAGTAGGCTTTATAAACTCACACAAAATGGCCCTAACTCCTCAGTCCCGAGAGCTGGGGATTCATTTGGTGTTTTCATTCTTAAACATTAAATACAGATAGCTCAATAGTTATTTTCATTGTCTATTTATATATTTGTTCATTTGGTAACACTATAATGACTTCATAACACATTCATAAACTATACATAACACATTAAAAAAAAGTCATCTTTTCAATTTATGTATGAAAACTATTATTTCAAGACTTTAGCGATTTGAAAGCGCAATTCAAATAATTTCCAATATTTTGACATCATGCCACATAAGTACAGTAACGGGACAAACAAGAATAGAAATGTGTTTCCAGATTTGTGGCTGCGTACAGACTCTTTCCCTCCTGGCTCCAACCATACGGGCTCCATTAACATGGCAAACAGCTCTGAGATACATAACAAACACAGCTATTTACAGATGAGACACAATGGCTTACCAAGAGATAGCCAAGCACACTAGAGAAAGTCCCAGCTATTTTGGCAACCATGTGTCATTTTCTGCCTTTCTGAACCAGAGCCAATAAACTCTCTCAACAGAGAACTTCTCAGCAGACCTGGGTTCAAATAGTATTTGAAATCATTAAAATACTTTGAGTGTTTGTTTTAGCCTACCTGGAGTGCCAGATGGTCGGAGTATGCACTTTTCAGTCTATGCTCCTGGTTTCATTGCACCAGGCAAAATCAATCAAGCAAATTATTTCAAATAGTATTTGAACCCAGATCTTCACTCTCAGAAAGACAGCAGTAAGGAGGGATACGACGATAAGGGATTTTTTTGTGTGCGTTTATGTAATAAATCAACATCAACCACACTGAGCAGCAAACCAAAGATTGACGTCAATTAGAATCAGCCTGAATAGACTTAGATGTTTATTATTTTCACACTGGCTCTGAGTCTGAGGGAGCTAGACACCTTAACAAGGCTGTCTGGGTGAGTTCGGTGGAGGAAAACAGGGGAGGTGGTGGGAGGTGATGTGGGAAGAGCAGGGAGCTGGGTGTTGGGGGGGGGGTTAAGGGTTGTGCTTGGTGGGTGGGGCTGGGAATGGGGTTGTGGTTGAGGCTGGGAGTAGGGTTGGGGGTGGGACTGGGGTAAAGGTGGCTGCATGTTTCCCAACCGAAACAGTTCGGTACAGTTCATGCATATAATATGACTCCATTTTGTGACGTTTTTGTTCGATTTCGAGTTCGGTTAGGGTTTTGTCGGCTGTTTGGGCACACCATTTTTTTTCTCAAGGTCCCTTCGTCCGTGATTGGTCAACTGTAGGGGTGACGCAAGTTTCTGCTTCTTGTCGATTCAGCCAAAACTCAGTATGGATTCATTATGGCGAATCACAACTTTGACAGAGGAGGTACAGAAGTACCTCCACCAGTACAATTCTGGCCATATATAGACCAGCATGTAAATGCCAGTTCATGGAGGGAGATTGCGGAAACGCAGTTCGAAAAACTGGCACTGGCTGTTCACCGGCCCCAAGCACTACCTCTGCCCCCAGTATTGACTGGTGATCGGCCCCCAGCCCATCTCCCGTACCGAGTTGCAGTGCAGAACTAGAAACAATCTCCATGCAGGACCTGGGAAGCTCTATCCTGTGCCCACCTCTAAGACCTACTCCACTGGCTTGTTCCTCAGCGATGCCACAGAGCAGCAGCAGTAGTGGCAGGGGTGTGAGGAGAAGGGAGAAAAGAGCTGCAGACTCAGCCCTTGACACATCACTCACAAAAGCATTGCAAATGATTGAAGCCATATCTCAAGATCTGGGGAACGTCATGCACCGACCCACCAGCTTGTCCCGGATGTAAATAAATACAAATAATTTCAGACTCTACTCTGATCCCCTTTCCTCTCTTCTTTTGTCCTTTTTCCTCTTCACCCTGCACACTGCTCTCCAGACTCTCCTAATGTCCCCCTTCCTCTCAACCTCTCCACAGGGTCCTGGCACCTAGAGCTGATTTCATGGATGAACTCTCGCCAAAACTCTGGGAGGACTTCAATCACTAGCTGCCAGCTGCATGAGTTCGTGCATGACTTCAAGAAGAGGACATGGACCGAACGACTGGGACCACAGTGAAATGACCTTGTTCTGTTGTTGTTCAGACATCTCAGGAGTCAGACACTAGACACTTTCATTTTAGTCCATAGACACTTTTGTTATCTACATGTCTGTTCATAAGACACGGTTCTACTATTGATCAGTAATATTTATATTGCTCATAAATATGTGTATCTACACTCTTGACATTTTATTTTTGAACCTTTTGTTTACATGTCTGTTCATAGCAGACACTGTTGTACTATTGTTCAGAAATATTTGTAACTACACTCTGACACTTACATTTTATTCCATAGAAACTTGTTTACATGTCAGTTCTCAGCAGACACCTTTTGTATTGTGGTTTACTTTCAGAAGCAAGAATAAAGGTTTATTTGTGTGCTGAAAAAGCTCTGTTGGCATTTATTCATGTCAATACAAGGTGTTTCAATGGATTCTATTTGAACATCAGGTGCTGACAACGTAGAGAAGAGCTGTGTGTCACAGACTTTACAGACTTTCTTCTACTGGTGGTGTACGTAGTTCAGTCTAATCTAAATTACTGCACACTGAGACGTCGCAGAATCAGGTTTAATTGTATTAACAAGATTAAAACTCTACTGGCTCTACTGGTCCATCAATAATCCTCATCCTTGCAGCCATGATGCTGAATGCATTCTTTGACTCTACGACAATGAGAGTGGTAGTAGTTCCAAGTACGCCCAGGTTTATTGAGATGGACCCCTGTGAATAAGAGGTAACATGAGAATATCAGATATACAGTATAACTACAGGGGTTAGGAAGCCCAACAAACCTCCACCGTCCACCTCCATATGTCATCATCACAGTAGAGGGCAGGCCATAATAATTCATATTTGTTTTGAATCTTAGATATGTAAGAAACCCAATAGCATGTAACCCAATAGCACTTGTGAAAGATCAGCTTGTTCAGAGCTGTGACAGCATTAAGTGTTTGATGGTTGAGTTCCTTTGAACCAAAATACACAGGTAGTGAGAAGATAGAGTCAAGTACATGGTCTGAGCTGTCTCCTCCTCTCCTCTCCTCTCCTCTCCTCTCCTCTCCTCTCCTCTCCTCTCCTCTCCTCTCCTCTCCTCTCCTCTCCTCTCCTCTCCTCTCCTCTCCTCTCCTCTCCTCTCCTCTCCTCTCCTCTCCTCTCTTATCCTCTGCTCTCCTCTTATCCTCTCCTCTTATCCTCTGCTCTCCTCTTATCCTCTCCTCTTATCCTCTGCTCTCCTCTTATCCTCTCCTCTTCTCCTCTCCTCTCCTCTCCTCTCCTCTCCTCTCTTATCCTCTGCTCTCCTCTTATCCTCTCCTCTTATCCTCTGCTCTCCTCTTATCCTCTCCTCTTATCCTCTCCTCTCCTCTCCTCTCCTCTCCTCTCCTCTCCTCTCCTCTCCTCTCCTCTCCTCTCCTCTCCTCTCCTCTCCTCTCCTCTCCTCTCCTCTCCTCTCCTCTCCTCTCCTCTCCTCTCCTCTCCTCTCCTCTCCTCTCCTCTCCTC